TTTCTAGTCCAGTGCCTTGACAATGGAGCTATTCAAACATATCGCCAGATCTTTTCTCCTAATCTCAGGGGTTGCAGGGGCTCTGTCAACACTGGCAGTCGAAGGTGCGTTTGTCTTCGGCACAGATGGAATCGTCAACCTGTCCTCGGATGGCGTCACTCCCGACATACAGATTGTTGATTTTGGACAAAACTTCGAGGGCCATCCGACCTTTGAAGTTATCAGCACCTCGGGTGATACTTCGGTGTTCGAGGTATCTTTTGCCGAGTCCAAGGCCGCCTTTGGGGGTTATCAGGTGTGTCTGCTCCGGAACGAACTCGTAGTTCAACGTCCAATGCCTCCCATTTGACTAATGTATAAGCCAGAGCGATGGCCCACTTGGCTTGGCCGCCGCCATGGATACCTATCGTGTCAGGCGCTACAACATATCTGAGTCTTTCATCTACGAGGGTCGACTTATTCAGGGTTCCTTCCGCTATCAGAAGCTCAATCTATCTTCTTCCGGGGAGCTTGTCCTAAAGAACGTCGGTGTCAGGCAGACCGTCAACACGACCCCCATTGATGAGCTTCCAGGATCATTCCAGTGTTCCGACGAAGACCTGACTCGTATCTGGCGCACCGGTGCCAGGACGGTTCAGCTAACGGAAATTCCCAAAGACACCATCCCCGACTTCTGGGACGTCTCTGAGAAAGGCTCCTTTGTTGATAGTCTTGCTCCTCAACCGCTAGCTGGAATTGGTTCTGGTGGTCTCATGACCTACAAATTGGCTTTCGAAGTACTGCCTGCCTCCGGTGCCTTCATGTTCGCCGTTCTCCAGGACACCCTAGGAAATGGCATAGATATCACCTGCGACTTGAATGCTGGCACACTCCAGGCCGAGGTTGAAAGTACTATGTTGGCATCGGCCAACCTGTCCATCCCCTGGTCTCGGGATGCTTGGCTGTCTGTCAAAGCGAGTGTCAGTTCGGCAGGCATCAAGGTCGCCATCAACAATGCCTCTATGCTGGAATTCAACCAGACCAGCAAGTTCTTCGGGTCATTCGGCCTCGGTACCCCCTTTGCTCACTCAGCCTACTTCCGTAACCTTGAGGTGACCGACCTTTTGGGCGGTCCCATATACTCCTCGTCTCTGACGGATCGTGACTTCTTGGACGATTTCCTGATGGGCTCTAACCCTGCCGACACTATAGTCGATGGCTCCCGCAGGGACAGAATCTCTTACGCCGGGGACCTGGACATTGCCCTTGCCGCCTCCTTCGCGAGCACCTATGGACTCTCCTTTGTTGAGGGGTCCTTGAATCTCCTTGGATCTTTCCAGCTGGAGCCTGGCTTCTTCGTGCCCACCGCCAAGATTCAGCAAAAGCCTATGACGGGTCTCATACCCGCCAACCAGACTGGACTCATCGCGTACTCATTTAACCTAATATCCGCATTCTCGCAAACCTACATGATAACCGGCAATGTCACATTTGCCCAGACGTGGGCACCCGCTGTGATGAGAATGCTGGATTGGGCCGAGTCCAAGCTTGTGAACGGTGTCTTCACTCTTGATGAACCGACCTTCACAGGGGACTGGAACTATTACGACCCACCTCAAAACGGAGCCAGCTCCAAGTTCAACGCCGTATATGCATACGCCCTCCAGCAGAGCCTGCATTTGCTTACCGGTGCCGACATGAATGCCACTAAGTACGAAGTGCGTCTTACCAATCTAAGGCAGGCCATGCACAGCCAGCTTTTCGACGCTTCCCTCGGGTTTTACAAGCTCAGCTCAGAGATCACCTCTGGGTTCGCCCAAGACGCGCAGGCTATCGCTATTTTAGCGGGCGTTCCTCAAGCAAACAACATCTCCGCCATTGACTTGCTGTCGAGAATGGGGCGAGAGCTCCTCCTCGTGGCCGGACCCCTGGCCTTCAGCAACTCAACTGTCTCCGCCGGTTTCGCCCAGAAGATCAGCCCCTATGCCTCGTCCTACCATCTCCGCGCTGCCCTCGAAACTGGCCACAGTGACGCTGCACTAGCGCTCTTGAAAACGTTGTGGGCTCCCCTAGCCGATCCGCAGCATGCAAATTACACCAACTGTTTCTGGGAGACTCTCGAACCTGACGGCAATCCGGGTTTGGGTATCAGTACCTCGCTTTGCCACGGTTGGGGCGCAGGCCCCACTGGCGAACTCACGCGGTTTGTTCTCGGCATTCAACCGGCCGCTCCCGGGTTCTCGGAATGGGTGGTCAAGCCTTTAACTCTAGGCTTGAAATGGGCCGTTGGCCGTCAACGCACCGAGAGGGGTGACATCAATGTGGAATGGCGGTTCGACGATGCTGGACTACTGCAGATGAACGTCACCGGACCGGAGGGGGGCAAGATTCATCTCCCTCAGCCCCTGCTAGTGCCTATGAACGAGTCCATTATTACTGTAAACGGGGAGATCGTTACAGGTGTTGAATTCCCTTTTGCAGCAAGCAAAACCACAACTATTGTCCAGATGGGAAGGCCACTTAACACTCTAAGATAAGCACAGGGAGAAACATAGAATTAATATTAATGAAAAGTGTCAAATAGACTCTACACATGCATATACTTAAACAATAGTGGTAAATTCAAGTGCTGTCCTATAGCTATCCGTCCTAGCTACAAGCTATAGAGTTATGTAAAGTAAGTCTCTAGAAGAATATTTACCACATCTCTATGTACTTGATGAGATGCTATCTGCGTGACCTAGGGATTGGGGCTAAATTGACTGTGTAAAGTGTGTCCTCAGAAGAATCTCAACCACCACTCTCGGACCGTCTCGAGCCTACTATGTTCTCCCTCGAGGTCTCTCTTACATCAAGAACCGACAGCGCTGTATGTCCTAGTTCACCCATTTGCCACAATCCGCCCAAAATCAGAAAGACCGTCACGGGAATTCCTGTTGCCCAGTATAACCACTGGCCGTGCTTAATGTTTCGGATGTCAACTGTGTTCATACCGAAGATGCCGGCAATGGTGCTCAATAGCAAGAATACAATAGTCACTATAGTAGAGGCATAGATCGCTTGGTCATGGTAGTTCTTTCTAGCTTCGGCCTTTTGTTGCTTCTGTATACCGATACACGGCGATTAATCATAGGTGTTTCACGAAATGAAATTATAAGAAAAGAAAATCACATTCAATACAAAGCTTTGCGCCTCTGCTTTCCGAGATGATAGAATTCATCAAACCTTCCGGAAATGGCATTTTTGCAATCACCAGCCAGAAGCCCTCGGAAGCCTCCAGGGTCTATGGCTGACAATGCAGGGTCCCCATCTTCGTCCCTCTGATATTCGGTGTCCACTTATCTCGCTGAATTGTATTCGTTGGTCTCTCTATGGGCAGACTTGTAAGGGTCGGTCCGCCTACTCTCGTGGGTAACCCTATCTCTGTCTCCATAGCTTGATCGCGTACGTGGTTGTATGAATGACCGTGTGCTTTGACGCTCATGACTCGCTGCGGTTGTGTATAAGTAATCAGGCGAAACAGTAGTGTGTTAGCACGTTCTCAGGAGTGCTGTTCGTAACTCGACAAGCTATGCCATAATATTTCGCGGAAGTATTAAAATCAAAAGGACTGGATCAATTGTAAGAAAAGCGGGTTTTCTTCTTCATTACTTTTATTTGAAGAGAGTTTGAAAAGAATACAGAATCTACACTTGTCCACTATAATGGCCCACATCTGAGATGTGGAAACGGTGTTCGGCTGGAACACCAGCCACTTGTTGTACCACCTGCTGCATACCTCGTGCCCTCGGGTGTTGGGAGAAGTCGGCTTGCATTAGCGTGAGGGCTGGGCAGGATGTTAGCTACCGAGCTGTAGATGAATAATTCTTTAGATGAAAGAAAGGCATATTGAACCAATACAGAGAACGAGGTGACGTGGGTGGCTTGTTCTTTTCGTTTGATTCCAACACGCGCATTACCACCCCAGGCGTGACGTACTGATGAGTCCCCCAGATAGTCTTCTTGCGTCCAATAGTCCTATGTTTGACGTCTCGTAAGAGTTTTGCAAGGCTGTTCTTCTCGGGGGTTGTTGGACTTGAGATGTTGACCACCTGGTTCTGTGTGTTTCCCTGTTAGCTTGCAGAGCAAGATATAGATGCATTGTTAAAGCATTATTTACGTCCACTTACGGAAAAACTGCCAAGAATCATCACTTGCTGCTCCAAATGAATATGAAGTCAATTATCCTGCTGGCATTCCAGACCATAAATTGGGACAGTCGACTGTTTTATGACTACGTACCTCATCTAGACAGAGTGTGCTAGAGCCGCAAGGCTCGTGTAGCAACGTAAGGTTTGACATATGATGCCATTCTGGTAACTCATCACCTGTGTATTTTGATTCATACACATGGATTACCTTGAACTTTGATGCTGGCGCTGTTATGTCAAACAATGCTAGAGATGGTGTGGCTATGTTTTTGGAATGCTTCATTTCGTGAGAGATATTCTCTGAAGCTGAACCGTATGAAGGTGTGAAGCTGTAGAGACTTTCGCCATCCTCGTCGTCGGATTGTTCCGACTCTTCATCAGAATGGACTCCCCGTCGATTAGCACGGATCATTACATCGCATTCATCGGAGTCAGTTGCTGTATATGAATGATGGTCTGGGGCCCTTGAGTAGAAGTTTCGAGGTTCGCGCCGAGCTTCGACATAATGGGTCGGTCCAGATGGAGAATTTTTTGCATAAGGTTCGTTCCAGGCTCGATTGTCACCAGCGACTTCTTGTCGCTCTTCATTGAAGTGCCTGAGTGGGTCCAGAGTTGAAGGCTGTGGAGACAACGTTTACGGTTCATTTTTGTTCATCTCAGATTCTCATCGGAGGGTAGGCCAGCGGGCGAATGAAGATGTCGGCTAATGGAGCAAAGTCTCAGCGATAATAGCTTTTATAGACAACTAAAATTATAGACAAACGACTGGGCTTACATGAAATGGGTAGTGTGCTGCAAACGATGACCCATGTCTTGTGCCATCAACAGGCATCGGCGCCTTGCGTGGAGGGGACCGGCACCCCTCGCCCTTGCTATCACGCAGGTGATCAGGCATTGCTGAGGCAGTTTTGCTCCTTGTTTACTGAGAAGAGATTGATGGTAGAAAAGGAAAGCAGGCGTAGGGTTTGATGTTGTTCTGTGTCCCTGTAGAATTAAGCTTAGTTTCTACTAGTAGAGAGACCCTAGTATTGGGTTTATGCATAAAGGTCCCTAAGACGAACAGCACTTAATCTGTCTAGGAACAATGGCGTTCACCGACTGCAAGCCTAATGCATACAAGCCAGTCCTTAGGCATATCACTATAATGTAGGTAGTCTTGCCCCTCAGCTGCATTCACTGGCTTTTCCTGCTGCGGGATGTTACTAGCCACAAAGAGCTAATGAACTTCTGTTTAGGGACCCTCAGAAACGCCTAATTAAGAACGTGTAACCACCCCACCCTTCCTGATGCCCTCGGCCACGACACCGATGTAAGTATACGTGTCCGTGGTGCCGATGAGGGAGGAGTCGACGTTGGCGGCCCGCTTGAAAAGGGTGCCGTAGAGAGTGGGGAGTACGATGGCGGCAAAGTTGACGTTGAGTACTCATGGGCGGCTTTCTGGGCGTTGTAAACCGATAACCGGGCAGCAGGCGTGTTTTTTTTTTTTTTTTTTCATGGGTATTGTTCCATCTAGTTACTTCATCCTGAGTTCTTCGTTGGCCCACGATGGTTGAAGGGCTTTCAGAACCCTGCCTCTAGCTTGGTTCAATTCGGCCTCGACCCTCTCGCGTATTTGTTTCGCCGTGCTATCCTGAATCGAATCGCGCTCGTTCCCTTTGGATTCCTCTCTACACTCTTCCAACCATTTTTCCTTGAGGTCCTCCATCTCATCACAAACGTCTGGCATTTGCTTCTCGAGAGTATCGCACCTAGCTTGGAGTTCGTCAACCGCAATGTCGAGATTGCCGACGGTCTCCGCGTTTCCAGTTTGACAATCTTCTAATTCAGTATGTTTTTCCTCTAGCTCATCGCACCGCGCTCCGAGCTCCCTATTACGTTTCTGCAATTCCTTCAACATCTGTTGTAGATCATCAATTTGTTGTTGTTGTTGCTGTTGCTGCTCAAGCACACGCATCAGTAGACTGTCGGGATCGGCGAACAGCAATCGTTGCAATTTGTCTGGGCGAGAGGCGTTTAGCTTAGACGCCGTTGTGGTGTATACGGTGGTACGTGAACGTTTTCTTTTGATGGGTTGTATGTGGATATCTGCGTTTCCTAAAGGGAAGACGCCCTGAGAGGAATCCAGCACATCATTCCGCCGTTCAGCATCGCCATACTGTGGCGGACCGTGGTCGCAGTCGCGTCTGAAGCTTTCGGCGACGATGGCTGCGGCCTCTACCCTGGCCTTCGGCGACTGTCCATCGCTCGAGCATTCGTCGTACGGCGGGGGTGAGTCTCGATCAGGTGGCACATCCTCAAAGGGAAGAGTGCTACCGCACGATGCAGGCGTCGCTAGAGCGGGGGAGCTGCGATATTCCTTCGTGGACGGAGAACCATGATGGTCATGGGGTCTGTGCACCTTGCCGCCAACGCCATGGTACAGTCTGCGTACATCCACCATGCACTCATACTCATGCTTCTTATTTTCCGTCAAATGTGGAAAATCTCGAATAGCCCTCTTGTACATTAGGAACGTTTTTCGCCGCAGGATGTCGTGCCGAAAGTACATGGAAAACCGCGAAGATGTCGCAAGGGACATCAGTGATGCCCGTGCGTTCAAGACAGGTTCGCTAACCGTGTTTCCGGTGTCGAAATCGAGTGGTGTGATTAGGTCGATATGACTGTCTGTGTGCAGCTGGAATTGAAGACGGGTTACCGATTGCATGCCTCTGAGTCGCCAGCGGACAGCTTCGAGGCAAGGCGGACTTGGGCACTTGGTGCTGGCTTTGTCATATAGCATTTTTTCTAGCGACTCGATGTAGTTCGCTCTGATCTGTAGGCAAGCCGTGGATTTGGTTGGCACGCCGTTGGGGAGTGGGAAAAGACGAAAAGAGACGAGGCCGGGGGAGGAATATCGAACGCGCAGTTCGAAACACTGCTCAATAACTTCAGGCGGTTGTCCCTCATCTTCACGCACCGCAATGACTTCGGAGGCTTCAAAGTCGAAATCGTCCGAGTCGCAGCGCGGCATGTTGAACTCGTTTTCGGCTGGTCTTCTAGGGTTAAATATAGAGGGGCGTAACCGACGGCAAGTAGGATAGAGGATGGTGCTTACAGTTGTGCTGGCATCGTTCTTTTCTGCCCTTCGCAGCGAGTCCTTCGCTCGGTCCTACTGGATAAGACGCATCCGGCAAGATCCCGAACCTGCTCAGAGTGCATGGGTAGCTATTGTGCGAACAGTAGAATGACCGGGGCGTCTAGTCACGAACTCAGGCGTGAAGCCGCGAATGCTACGCCTTGAATTGGTTCTGACGGGAACCCGGTCCTCCTCGCACAGTAAGTCACGCCAGCAAGTGAACGGTCAGAAGAATTGGGATAAGTCTTTCCAGTAGGAGTACGCAGGAGAGATACTGGCTGAAGAGGAGATGACGTTGGAGGTGAATTTGATGGGGGAGGGCGACATTTTGTAGAGGTTAAGAAGCGGAGAAAGCTGGAATTCAGAATGCAGCCTAAAGGATGGGCGGGATGCGTGGTTTATTATTCCGTGAAGGACTCTACCAGTATGAAGGTTTTCGATTGGCTGGTTTTGCTTGAGTGGATCTGCCTGGTGCGTAGGTGGGGCGCGCCTTAGGTAATTGACACACCTAAGAGTGGTGCTTGGACACCGTGACACTGTTGTGGCTGGCGCGACTCCAGAAACGCCGAGTAATTAGATGTTGAAGTGTGTGGATACGGCGGTCAATTGCAACGAAATCCCTGGTCAATTGGGCGTATATTGATGGTGTATTGATTGGCGAATTCGCCGTAATTACTGCCTGGAATTCGTGGCCTTTAACCAATGCATTTGTCATCCAAATCGCCACTTTTGAGTGGGGAAATCCATTCATCCAATGACGGCAACATTTGACCCACTTTTGCGTATGGCCAATTGCTACACTTTGACATTAGATAAGCTAATATTTATTAAAGTGCGTAGATACAGCGGTTAATTACAACAATATCCCTAGTTAATTAGGTATATATTAATTATATAACTATTAGTAAGCTTACTATAGTTACTGTCTTAAATTTATAGCCTTTTAACTAACATTCTTATTATCTAAATTACTACTCTTAAGTAAGAAAATCTATTTAACTAATAATAGTAATATCTAACTTACTTTTACTTATAGCTAGTTATTGTACTTTAATATACCTTCCTAGATTAAAGGTACTAGTAGATTTAATTTACTAATTTATTGTTAATTAGCTTTTATTACTACCTAGGAGTCTTAACTTTAATTACTTTTATTATAGTAGTAATAACTAAGGTTAAATAACTTATAACTATATTACCTAGAGTAAAGATTCTTAGATAAAGAGAAAAAGAAAACTATAGTAAGGCCTTTCTTAGTAGTATTACCTTTAAACCCTCTATAAACCTTTTCCTAGTTATATAACTTTTAGTAGTCTATACCTAGCCCTAGTAGCCTCTATAGCCCCTTAGCTATAACTAGTATAGCTATCTTAACCTATAGTCTTAGTTACTTTATAATAGTATACTAAGGAGACTACTTAAGATATATTACTAGCTTATTATTAGTCTAATAACTTCTTCTAGTACTTTTTCTTTTCTTTTACTAATAACCTATTACCTAAAGTAGCTATTATTATAAGGAAGAATATTAATCTTACTTACTTAAACCTATTAACTAAAGTATTTACTAGTCTATACTAGTAATTAAAATAGTTAAGGATTCTCTTCTTTATATTATAAAGCTAGTTTAGCTATTTAGACTTATCTTAAATTACCTTAAGGTATAAGATATTAAGACCTATATATAGAATAATAAAGCAGTAGAAAGAGGGGAATTACCTAGCTTCTTATAGTGTAAGGCTACCTCCTGCTTAGCTAGCTTAATAGAATTAGAAGTATAAAGATACTCCTAGTATTATCAAGAGAGACTTCTAAGCTATAAGGTATAAAGAGCCTAGTCTTCTGTAATATACTAAGATAGGTTAGGATATACCTTGACAGCTTTAGATAATCCAATAGGTTAGCCTGGTTGTGTCTAGGACTGTGTGGAGCTATTAACAGCAGTTAAGTTAGTCTCTAGGGTGACTAAATAGATGACAGAGTTATAGAAGTTCTTCTACTTCTCCAGATGCTCAAGGATGTTGTTATGACCCAATAAGTTACGAACAATGCCTGCCCCACTAGACAAGGCGAAGCACGGGCGGCACGGCATTTGTATAGACAGGGTACAAGGGAAGGACAGATGACTCCCTGGACAGGAAGAACTATGGTACAAGTCGCATGCAGATAAGACATGAAGGGAAGTGTTGGATATGAGATATCTAAAACTATCCATGGATAGGTTGGATAAGTTGCTAGCTAGCATATCGAAATAGATCACCAGTATCAGGACTTTACGTTACTTCCTCTGGCCCAAAAAGAGACTTATTCACCTGCTCGTACGTAACCCATAGTTTTCTGCATCATTACGCTTCCTCGACGTTCAAATTGGTCGATGGCACCGTTTCTCCTCAAACTTCAATTTGTCTTCCTTCGTTATAGCTATCAACATAGTTGCTGACCATACAGTGTCCGGATACCAACTTTGTCACAAGCAGGCCTGGCAGAACGCCGCTGCTGTTCTTCTATTTTGTCCTTGCTTGCCTGATCCAAGTTTCCTGTCTCGAGACCTAATGTTACCAGAGAGTCAATACATAGCCTCAGGCCTCAATTTGCCGAAGCAGGGGCTGGAACTCGGCGGGAACGGTGTCAGCACCGGCGCCAGTGTTCGCAATCGTCTCCTTCAGGCGGGGCAGGCAGGTCAGCATTGCAGTCCATGTGCCAAATATATCATCCTCTTCCTTCCAGGTCTACGGCTAAAACTCACCAATTCTGTGATCTTCTCATCCGGCAGACTGGTAATGTCGTACTCAGTGCCGTCCGCGAGGCCTAGCGTATCAGGCTTGACGACGGCCTCGCATTTCCCAGCGCCGGGCTGCTCGGCGGGGCACGACTCGTCGTCGGCACGCTTGCGGTTGAGAAACCAGTAATTACCCCCCGTGCGGTCTCCGCGCGTTGTGTACGGCAGACAAATGGTTGTACTTCCTCCCGAGTCCCGCTCACCACCGAAAGCACTACAGCCGCCCTCAGTGTATGCCCGTGCGCGAATTCGCCAGTTGGTTGGAATCTATGCTCGAGACGCGTCAGTTCTGGGAGTTTCGAAGGCAATGGAAAGAGATGTTTCACGCACGGCAACAACAGCGATACTCGACCTGCCGCTGCTTCTAGAGCTGCTGAACGAGCAACAGACGTTGGGGTTGATATTCACGCAGGCCGCATAGCTCCCAGCGCAGCCATCTCCGGTATGGGCTCTAATGTCAATACCGAACGCGGTGGCTGCAAGGCCCAGGAAGAGCAACGAGAAGTGCATATTGGATTCGTGAGGTTGGGGTGCTTAATGTGATACTGCTGAGTCGCAAGGGGAAGAGGCTGATGAGGATGATGGTGGAGGAAGCAAACACAACAGTCCTGGAGGAGCAATTGTCTGGCTTTATACTGTTTCTTGACCGACCTGCCCATCCCATGATCTCTTTCATTCTTCATAAGGGCGAGCGGGGTCAATACCTCACCAGCATTAGTTTGCAGAAACCCCTCACGTATTGTCTGACCACCTCGCAGATGTGGTGTCAGTCGCTGGCATGATTTGGGGGATTATCACCAGCGTTTGCCGATCATGGATGAAGGCATGAACTCCCCTCAAACTGAAGACATTTGCAGTTCGCAAGGTCTTTCCTCATTGGTGGCGATGGGTATCGGGGTTCTTTTTCATTATGACATTATCATCTCGTAATTCAACTCCCTTAAAGCCCAACCTCCTGAGATTACAATCACCAGTCCCAAGAACTAGCAATCTTTGCGTGCCGTCCGAAAAGCGCCTTAGAAGCAGGGAGACGTTGTGAGGTCCTTTTCTTCACGACGCGCTGCTTAGTGTCCGTTTCTTGGCATTATTGATTCTTGCAGCGTCAGCCTGTAAGCTCACAGTAGTTGCCTTTTTGAGCGGCAGTAGTGCTGACGCCGAGAGAGAGAATATCGCAGCATATCCATCCTTACATGAACTAGTGTTCTACCAAGAAACACAATGTGACATCGCAGAGTGGACATCTATTACCCTAAAACGGAACCTCGGGGTGTCTGCTCCTGAGACCTATAGTAAGAGAGACATTGTGATGAAGAGGAGGAAAGGTGGAACCACAACTACAAGGCAGTAATTGTGACTAATATGGCTTCACAAGATACTACCCTAGTTAGCTAACATCTAAGCTGACTGACTAATAGCTCTGTAAACCTTCTGATTAGATACGTCTCGCCGAAATGTAGGCAGCCGCCAAGCCCCAGATTCAAATTCTAAGCCTTAGGATTTACAGTCTAACAAAGTATTAATACACTTTTTTAATATATTCCTTAGTCTATTTAAGTATATTATCGGTATCTTAGGAAACGTTAAGCTTATAGGTATAATAATACAAGTTAGCTATATAATAATAGTACTAAGAGTTTATTTTTTAGATATACTATATATATTTTAATATATATTCTTATATATATTTCAATATATCTTTATATATATATTCTTATATATATATCTTATAAACTTTCTTATTTTATCTTAGTAGTAGCTTTACTATAGTAGCTTAATTACTTTACTTACACTAACGTAGTATATATACTCTATATTATAATAGTTCTCTAGGATATTCTTTCTATTTATCTCTTTATAGTATATAGACTTATATACCGTTATGTTATATTTCTCTTGTATTAATACGCTTTATATTTATACTACTTTTGTACTTCTTTAGCCTAGCTTTATTACTTTACTTTTGCCTTTTAGCTTACTACTTACTTATAGAAAAGATACTCTCTTCTTATAAATAAAGTAATAAGGTTAACTACTAACTATAGATTAAAAGTAAATATAGTATTACTAACTACACTAGAAAAAAAGAAAAAGTAACTATATATAACCTTGTTATAACTTAACCTAATAAACTATAGGTAAATATAGCTCTACTAGGCCTTAGAAGTATAAATTATATAGTGTCTAATAGAAACACTATAAGGATAACTCCTTATAGAATAGAAGAACTATAGATAGGTTATATACTAATAAACAATACTAAGTACTAATAGAATCTTAGTATAAGTACTTAAAGAATCCATATATAAACGTTTAGTTAACCTAGCTATATATACATAGAAAATATATAAGGCAGGATTTATTCTTAATAATAAGATTTATATATAAGATAA